CTACGCATAACTAGCTTAAGTATATGCTTAATAACTACGTCTTTTCGTATAGAGGTGAGATTTATTAATTTAAGCTAGTAATCTGCCACATGAAGGGTATCTAGCATATTAATAACCTAAAGTTACTTAAGATATATTATAGATAGCTGCAGCGCGTTATATAGAGAGTATTATATCTTATTTAAGAGCTTAGAGAGTAGTCTATATCTTATATTTATTAGAAGCATCTATTTAGTGCTATTATTAAGGTATTACGTAGATAGAGTAGTTTTAGTCAGAGGCTTAGCAAAAGTAGCTCGCTAATCTATATAGCTTACGTAACCTATAAGGTACGTTAGTAGATTACTTTATAAAGTATGCTATTATAGTATCTTTCTAATAAAACTATATAGCTATTTAGCTAGCATATATACTTAAGAACTAACTTATTTAAGACTATAGCATACTAAAAATAATTATTAGTAATAGAGATAAGCTATTTATATTAGCTTATTAGGCTATACTTATAGCAGAAATTAGTATATAACGAAAGCTATTAATAGCTTATTATCTACAAACTAATAAATAAATAGAATAAATAAACTAAACTATAAAGCAGTACTTTAGAATCTTTAGTAATATTAGCTAGATAAACTAGGTATTGCTGCTAGTAATAGCATAGATATTATATAATAATAAGGTTTCTAAGATAATAGGCAAAATACTATACTTTCGTAAACTATAGAAAAAACTTAAATCTCTATAAATAAATATTACCTAGCTCTAAGGCTGAAGCTATAATAAAATCTATAGAAGAAATAAAGAAAATATATAAAAGAAATAAGTAAAAAACTTATCTATGCTTAAATATAGAGTATCTCTTATATTAATAAGAAAAGAAAAATAGCACTTTAGCTTAAAAAGAGAAATGAAGTATATTTATATATAAAAAATCTATGCACTAAATAACTAAGTAAGAGACTTAACTACGTTAAAGTTAGACTATTTTTAATTTCTAAATAAAACAGACTAGTAATATATATACTTAAGTTACTACTAGATATAAAAATCTACTCTAGGTTCTATATAAACTTATTAGAACTAGCTAACTTAGGAAATACTATTATAGCAAACCTTTTGCTATAAGACTAAAGGAAGATAATAATCTTTAAAGTTAAAAAAGGATTATTATACATAAAGGCAATTACTACTAGAAGAAATTTCTAGTTAAATAGTTAGGATATAACTACTTAGAAAATATATAGAAACTAGAAATAAACCTTACGAACTGCCGCTAGTTACTAGCGCAGTATTAGGTAAAATACCTAGAGCTTTATTAAAACTAGAATTACTCTTAAGCATAGAAGGTATAAAGGTACTCTAATTAAGCGCTAGAGTACCTAGTATTAGACTATTCTTAAGCAAAGATATTTCTTAGTTAATAGAATTAACTGCTTCTAGAGCTTTAAGATTCTTTATATATTTTTCTAACTTATCTACCTATTATTATTTATAATGCTTTAATATCTTTTATTACTTATATAAATAATTCTTCTTTACGCGCGCTGCAAGTAATATATCTAAGGCTACTATCTTAGCATAATTAGCCTTAGCCTCTTACTACTTTAATTATAATAACTTTAAATCTAACTTTAAGAAGTTAGAAAGAAGAACCTCTATAAGTACATATAACTTTATTCTATTTTAATAATAATTTCTATACTCTTTTTTTAATAATGATATCTAATACTCTAGATTCTTCTTTAAATAATATTAATACGTAACTATAGTAAGTTCTCTAAGACTATTAATCTAATTACTAATAGTATAATAATGCAGAGTGCTATAGAAAACTATATAGTTAGTTTATAAGAATACGAACGTAGAAGAGAAAGATAGTATTATAAATCTATAGAAAAAGGCATAGCAGTCTTTATAAGAGGCAGAATACTAACTAGAGAGAGTTAGTATAGAGATTAGCATATAAGAACTAATAGATAACGCTACTCTATAGAGCATATAATTCTATAGTCTTAGCAGAAAGTAACTATAGAATAGTTATATACGTCCTATAGAATTCTATAATATTCTATAATATCTTACGTATAAGATAATATAGAATAATATAGAATATATAAGATAATACTAGTATATAGATAAGATATAGAACTCTTATAGTTTAGTATCTTTAACTTCGTACTTTAAGTTACTTAATATATTATACTCTTTATAGAAGCTTACTCTTACTATCTTAGTATACTCTATCTCTATATCTAGTGCTACTTTACTCTATCTGCAAAAACTAACTTAAGCTCTTTAACACTAGCTATCTAATTATTAGCTACTTAATAGGTTTTAATATAAGTTTAGCTTTATAATAAGCTAGATCTTAACTAGAGTAGTTATTATAGCTTTAAAGTAATAAAAATAGCTAAAGATAGTATAATAAAATAATTAAGAGTAGATAATAGTTATTTAAAGCATTAATATAATAGAATAAGCTATTTTATCTTTTATTATCTTTAAGAGCTATTACTATCTCTTAGCTTAGTATAAGAAGAAGAATCTATCTTATAATTAAGTTATTATAGTCTCTAAGAATAGCTAGATAATAAATAAGCTTAGTTTATAGTAGTTAAAGTACTTTAATAAGTATATAAAGAGAAAAGTTATAGGCGCTTATTAGCTACTTATTATTAATAGCTATAAGAGCTATAACTTACTTAATTTCTAGTAATACTATAAAAATAATAATATTATTACTATCTATATACTTTCTTACTTATTATATCTTTTATAGCTTTTTAATATAGATTATTTTACTTCTTTAAAGAAAGTATATAGATACTAAGTTAAAGAGCTTATATATAACTAAATTATATATATTATAAAACTTAAGTTTCTATTATACTTTAAGTGCGCCTTTAATATAGTAATTACTTTTAGTAATATTTAAGAAAAGTTTTAAAGCACTAAATTAGTTCTATTTAATCTAAAATAAGTTATATTAGCTCTTAATATCTATATCTATATTCTACTATTATTTACTATTAAAGACTATCTCTAGTAGTTATAAACTCTAAGTAATACTCTTAAATTAGAGTTATAATTAATACTTATAAAAGTAAGAATTTAAAAGTATATAAATAGCTTACTAATATCTATAGTAGAGGCCTTTAAGAAGGTCTTAAAGAGAATAGTAATTATTATATATAAGCTAGTATTAGTATAGAAGAAAATTACTAAGCTTTAAGTAGCTAATAAAGCTACTATATAATATAAATTATATAAAAGAAAGTATATATAGAAAGAAGAGACTTTAATAGTTAAAGATAGTCTTTAATAGATAACTCTAAAGAAGTTTAGTATATATAGTAATAAGAAGAAGATAAAGAAGTAAGTTTATGCTAAAATAAGTAAGCTCTTCTAAAAGCAGTATAGATAATATAATAAGACTAGGCATCAATATATATATATATATATATAAGAAAGTAGTAGAAGTAGACTCTAAATAATATTATATCTTACTTTATACTATATAGAGCTAAAGTAAGTTGTTTTGCGCTAGAATAGAGTAGTTTTAGTAGGAGCTTAGCAAAAGTGTCTAGCTAAACTGTGTGTCCGGCTAACCCGTAAGGTACGTTATAAAATAGCATCTTATATAATTAGCTCCTACTCTCATGCTAACTTCTCTGCAGTCTAACAGCTATCTAATGCAGCGCGGCTAGGTATTGCAGGCTGTATTACTTAGCTGTTGATATGTACACTTTGGTGGGCAGATCTGGTGGGATCTTTGTGAAAAGCTTGCCGATGAGGCTTGGCTAGCTGATGTGACGAGCTGGCTTCGTCTTTCTAGCCACCTGCGACACAGTGCCAAGACACTTTGCAAACATTACGTAAGGTTTATTAAGACCTTGTATATGGGCGGCCTTGGCTGTGAGTATGAGTTGTTCTATAACGGTTATTGCGAGAATGGGTCGAGATCAATGAGTTTCTTCTTCCTCTTAGCTTGTCCGATGCCTAACACGAAGATTTGTCCCGGCAACCCATAAGAGTTTACTCTCGAGATTGGGAATTCTCACAGCTTGGTAATCGAGTCAGTGTATATGCAAATGTCTACATATCGCAGATTTGGGGCCTTCAAACATGTGTGGGGCGAGGGAAGGATTTGCATGGACAATCCGCTTCTCGGAGACTAACTTAAATTCGATCCCGAGAATCTCGAACGACACACGATCACCATCATATCGCACTTCAAATGAGACGAGGATAGCGCCCAGAGGCAGTTGTATTGATAGTTGAAGTGCAAAAACTATCACTCAGGATCGTGGTCAAGTTTGGGCGCACGTCCTCGCTAGAACATCTATCCGTTCAACGAACCCTCTCGCTCCTCCAGTGTACCTCCATTTCCATATAATATGGCCCGAAATTTTCCGCAGCTTTGACAGACACACAACGCTGCCGACGCGTTTTCCCATCCATCAACTCTGCATCTAGCATGAGTAGATGCTGGCATGGTAGTCAGACTGCAGCAGCTCCTCTTTCCGTTCTTGCACTCGGTGCAGTTCGCACGCGCAACCAGGTCGGCGGGAGCGGCCTCAGCAGCAGGAGCAGCAATGGCGACGGGAGCGGGCTCGGCGGCAGGCGCGGCCATGGCGACGGCGGCGAACAGGGCGACGATGACTGTGGTGAACTGCATGTTTGCCTGTGATGGATGGTAAGTATCGAAGTAGAGGACGTAGAAGAAGCAGAGGGCATCCGCTTACTTGTTGGTTGGTAACTTGGAGTTACGAGGGATAAGATGTGCTTTTTGGTAAGGTTGATCTGGATATTTGGAAGTGTTAGTGATGCTTTCTTCTGTTGGGGGGCAACGAAGCCGGTCTCTTTATACATGTATCATTCTATTACCCACGACAGTTGTACCACAGCCAACTGCAGTGTACCTTCTCTATGCGGGCGACGTCTACATGCACCCGTACTCAGAGACGGGGGATGTTGGTCGCCTTAAGGCTCCTATCCGCGTTCGAGCCCTGATGCCGTTTACAAGCTTTTGTGATTTGCGGAACGAACATTGAGCCGGGTGAAAGATGACCGACCTTCCTGCAGCTGGCCACCGACGACCCGTTGGTGGAGTTACGGTAGGAAAGATCATCGCACCACATGTAGACCGTAATTATGAAGTTGGTTGTACAAAGCGCCACCATTTAGATTTGGTGCCAGAAGCCAAGTCTCTAGTGATGCCGTGTAGAAACTTAATTCTTGAGGGTACTGTCTTCTCAGCATTCTCGATTGCATATAACGACTGAACACACATGCCTACCAGATAGTGACAAACGAATTTTCTTACAGGCCGTAGAGTGCCGCTGTAAAACACGCCACATTTGAAGCCACAGCGTACACTAGTAATAGCGCCCCTAAGGCGCCCCGTCCCGTGTTGGAAAATGAGGGGTTGCGGAGAAACAAAGGCTTGTTATCTGCTATATTCCGGTAAAACTCAACGGTTTCGCCAGGGGTCGGAAAGTTTGCTGGCTCAAGTTAGACATACGCCTGTTGGAATTACATCTGAGCCGTCGAGTGACGAGCACAGGAAGACAATTTGGCTAGGTCTAGCATCATTGATGTCTTATCCCGCAAAAGATCTCCGAAGTTTCTCACGCTGGCAGAAAGGCCAGGTCTCGAAGGAAAGAGCATAGAAGGCCAGGGGTGGCTGTTTTGTTGCACACGAGGTCTAGGAGGTTACGCCTAGAGTTTTGGGGAAGCAGCAGAGCAGGCCAACATGTAAGGGTCCACAGATGTTTTGAAAGAAGTATAGTGTCCAAGTATATGTTGAGCAAAGAGCGAAGAACAACCTCGAAGCTTTATACCCCGTTTAGAGTAACGGCAGCTCTTCGTGCAAACAACGATACACGACACGTGTGCGAATGTCAAACCCTGTCTTGTGGTACTTGATTTCAGCCGTACGAAACTTTCTCTGTGCTTTTGAAGCGAAGAAACAGATCACACATGACTCCATTATTGTCTGGATTTTGAACAACAAAATTATTGCAGACCAGACTTCAATGTACTCTAAGGCCATTCACATGGGTAGGTTATTTTCATCATATCAGCGGTGTTGATGTGGTCCAGGAGACACCGTCCCTTCGAACATCGACTGAGAATCCACCGAAAGACATAAAAGCAGGCCTTGTTGTTTTGGGAACAGGCTCTCAGTCTTCTTAAACATACATCAGCATGTGCTGCGCTTTGGAGGTACCATCATGAAGAGTGTGATTGAAAGAAGTGCAGAAGGCTGGAGCGAGGGGATATATATACCCACTAGCGCGTTACGTACGCAAACATAGGTGCTTAGATCCGCATTTTGATAATCTCACATGTGAGTGTGTTCGACACCTCTCAGAACTCCTGCCCTTTGGAGAGTCGCACGAAATCCTCCGCACAGCCCGAAACACACGAGTATCATCTCTGTACTTTCTAGCTCCGAGCACATCGATTGCGGATCGAACGTTTTTGAGTGTGACGAACGAGACTTAAAGCCATGAGAACATCATTACTAGTTTTTATGTCGAGACACTCATAAATACTGCGGGGCTACTACTTTTTTATTTTTTGACCTAGCTTGACTTCCATATGCTTATGTCATGTTGGTTTCTCAAAGGTCCCGAACAAGCTCGTCACCACACCCAATCTCTACTCTCACGCTCACACATATCCAAGCTCATGCTTGTTTTTTTTGGAACCACCGAATCTCATGTTTTCTAATCAAGTCCTTTCGAGCTCACTAATTAGAATGCATACAATGCAGCGTTCATGTAAAGCCGCGGTCTGCTTTTTGGTAGTGACAGAAAAACTTGGGCATGCATAGTATCTCTATCTCTATTTCCGAACAGTGCGTGGATTATTGAAAAAGCAAAGGAGGCCAGCTATTTCACTTACGTAGGCACTTTCACGACAAGGCCATTTACCGCCTTTTTCGAACGTTTGGTGAGGGTATAACAAGACCTCAGAACGAAGAGAACATGTTCAGGATGCGAAGGTGTTTTAGTCTTTGTCGCATTTGCAAATGTTTTTGTGGAAAGAGAGAAGGCACAGATCAAGGTGAGAGGATTTATATGCCATTGGCCTAGACGGGAAAAAGGTGTACTTGTTTCGAGAAAGAGCAGAGCGAATTCATGAGTCGAAACAACTCAGAATTTTCGTCGCACATAGCCATTCTTCGTTTCAAATTCGGAAGCAAAAGTCATGAACCTAGCAAGCTAGGCTTTCTAGAAGATCGCAGGGGAAGAAGGAAGATCACATGTTCGGAGTCTTCCTGTCTTTGAATCGCACGAAGAGAGTTGATATGGAAGAGTAGCATAGAGAAGGAAGGTTTAATTATACTTATTGAGGGCAGTTGTCATGTGCATGGTCATCTGGAGTTCCAGATTGTGGTGTCAAACGTTGTTTTCGTTCGCCAAGTTCATCGCATGCGAATTCGCGAAACAACGCAAATTGCTCAAAAGGCAGTTATTGGTATCAGACGCAAATCGCCAAGCTTTGCTTTGGCATTGTAGGAGGGTCCAATCAAGGTACTCGTCGTATCTCAGGCTCTTACGTCTGAGGTGCGACTGATGGACAAAATGATGGAAATGATGACTTCACCACGCACGACGTGAGATGCGAACTGAAAACTGACTTGTAGAGAGACTTTGACGCAAGAAAAGTCACGACCTACAGTACGTTGGTTGGTGGGACGGTTAGGGTGCACTTTGCAAAATCTTACCTCACTTGTCTGCGCGACAACGTTCCAGGGCATGCATAATCCTCACAATCTGCACCTTCGCACTTGACACCATTGGCATTAATATCTTGAATTCCAAATTCTATGGAGTATGAGTAAACTTACATGTAAGACGAAGTAGAAGCAGTCCAGGCCCAGGCCATCCATGTGGTCGTCGGGGTTGCAACTGTATGAGGTATATGCAGGTGTTCACAACTCGAAAGTAGCCTGCTAGAAGATCAATAATTGCATCGGTGCAACAGCAAATGTCCCTAAAATCCCTTCACTCCATGCTCTTCGCAAGCGCCCACAGACTGTCGAGCTTGCTCCTCGCCAACAGCTCTCGCGCCTCTCCAGCAGTCTCGCACATCTTCGATCCCCACTTGCGGAACGAGTTCTTCTTGATCTCGCCCTCAAAGACTAGAATGCACTTGTTGGAGCTGTGGTCCTTGAGGTTGCCCACGTCGTCCATGGACCGCATCCATTTCGGTTCCGACGCTTGCTTCTCAGCTTGTATGTCGGTAGGTGGCGCGTTGTCCTGCCACTTGATGCGCTGAAGCATGAGCTTTTTGTACTTGGTGATGCCGTGGATACCACCTTCCACGATAACCAGATTCTGGTCGGGATTAAAGATGGTGACTCCAGTAAGAGAGTACTCCTTGGCGTTTTGGTCGATCTGGTACCGGTGCTTGCCGTATGCAAGGGTGTTGATCTTGAAGACGCACATGTAGAGACCTTTCTGCGCATCTTTCGCTTGGTTCTGAGCAAGCTTGGCGTGTTGCTGCTCTTTCGTGAGCTTCCGCTCCTGGTTCGAGGTCGTGTGGTCGTCCTGTCGCTGCTTGATCTGTGCTTCGACAAGTTGTTCGACAGCAGTAGGATCTGCAATAGCCTGTTCGCCCATGACTCGCATCATGTTTCCGCGCTTGACCTTTGGTGGAGGTGGCGGCTCAAGACCGAGACGGATCTTGGCCTGATGTTCTTTCAGATCGGCTGCACGGCGCATTCTCCGTAGTTTCTGCTGCTCCTTGGTAGTGAGGTACATGGGCTTAATTTCGACGAGTCGCTGGTCCTGGGGTGCTTTGAGAAGGGGAGGATGCTGTACGTAGATGGTGATGATGGAGTCCTCGCTGTCAATCTTGACCTTTTCAGGCTGGTCGATGCAGTCGTACGTCTTATCGCCGAGAATCCCCTCATCCCACCACTCGATGTCTGGAGGTTGCTGTACAAGGAAGCCGCGCTCGCTGTTCTCGTCCAGTCCAGCACGACGTGCTTCCTGAGCAAGCTTCTTCTTGATTTGCTCGAGGCGACTCTGCGCGCGTAGCTTTGAAGCTTGATCAAGGTACTTTCCTTGCTCGTGAAAGACGATCGTTCTTGGCACGCGACCTCGAACCTGGCCTGCAGACTTGGGGTCATAGTATGGATTCTCGATCTCTTCATCATCTTGCGGTTGCTTCTGCTTTCCGGCTGCAGCCTTGGGCTTGAGTTCTGGCTTGGGGGTTTCAGACACCCTATTTCCCTTGGTGGTCGGGAATTTGGCGCGTGGTCGAATCAGACGCGACAGGCTTCACTTCTAGATTGGATCCCCCTTTGAGGGCTGCCATCCTTGCCCTCATGGCTTCGAGTGCTCGCCTGGGAGTCGCTCGCGGCTGATGATGCCGGTGCCGGGCTTGCGACTTTGGGCGCGCTGTTGGTAGGACCCTCCGTCTTCTTCGCGGCAAATCGGGCTGCTATCTCAGCGGCTTTGGCTCTTGCTGCTGCGAGCGCATCCGCCGGCTTGACGCGCTTAGCATCGCCATTGGGGCCCTGGCCGTCGGGGTGTGGGCGCTTTTCGACCATGGTGACGGTTGTGTGGTGGTGATGTCGACAGTCGGGTGCGGAGTTTGCGCGGGGGTTTTGGCGTGTGCGTGTCGCGGACGGCGCCGCACTTGGAAGTCCAAACAAGCAGCCTGTGTCGTGTGCTTTCCTACAGCATTCAATACTGCGAGGAGACGCGTGATGCCGGCGGGGTAGGGAGTCAGAGGAGGCGATGTGGGTGATGGGGTCGAGGTCAGGGAGTGACGCGCGACGGTAGAAGGCTACAGGGCTTGGCGCTAACTCCCGCCGAACTTTTCCAGACGCCAAAAAAAGTTCGAGCTTCCAACGCCTGCCTTGCTGCACACTGAATGCCTTTGCGCGCAACACACACGACAGACAGCCGGCGCATACACGCCGCGGAACTGTCGCCGATATGAACACGCACCAGCCGACTTCCTCTGCCATCCAGAGCGTCGAGTTTGGTTTTCTCTCTACTCAAGATGTTCGCACGCTCTCGGTGAAGCGCATCACCAACCCGACTACTTTTGATTCACTGCTGCACCCTGTCGCTGGCGGGCTGCACGATGCTGCGCTAGGCGCCTTCCTCGACAATCCGTAAGACTGACCACAGGTCATGTGATTAACTGTTTGCTGAGAAAGATTGTAGCTGCTCAACATGCGGTCTCACAACCTTCATGGGCTGCCCCGGCCATTGCGGTCACATCGAGCTTCCCGTGCCCGTCTACAACCTCACCTTCCTCGACCAGCTTCTGCGACTGCTTCGGGGCAAGTGCGTCTACTGCCACCAGCTCAAGCTGGCCCGTGTCACCGTCAACGAATTCGTCTCAAGATTGCGCCTAATACGATGTGGACTTGTGCAGGAAGCAAACGAGTTGCACGAGCACGTCAACGCTAGCAAGGGAAAAACGAAGCGCACCGCGCAGGAGTCGGACTCGGAGGACGAGAATGATGACATCGTGTCTCAGCAGAACAACTACGTCAAGAAATGCCTGAAGAAGGCTGGCATCACGAGTCGCGACGTGCGGTCAATCAAGGAGAAGAACGACGCCATCTCCGATGCGCGGCGACAGGTACTGAAGGAGTTTTACGCACAGGTCGCCTACGGCAAGAAGTGCAAGAACTGCCAGGGCATAAACCCTACCTACCGAAAAGATCGCGGTGTTAAGATTTTCAGGAAGAATCTCAGCGGCAAGGACAAGATGGCCATGGCACAGGCGGAGAAGCGCATGACAAACCCTCTCGATATTCTTGCGAGACGGGAAGCCAAGGCAAGGAAGCAGCCAGTGCACGCCGACGAAGGCGTCGCCGATCTTGACCCCGCGTCTGAGGAGGATGAGGGTATCGATTTGGACGACGTGGACGACGGTTCATTAGTAGCTACCGAGGCGCGCACTGGCAACAAGTCAAGAACAGCTGTCGATCCGGCCGACGGCGCCCAGGAGTACATGACCGCGGCAGAAGTCAGGGCGGCCATGATCTTGCTCTTCGAACAGGAAGCGGACATGATGCGACTCTTGTACAGTCCCTATGCATCAAAATCACTGGTCAGCGTGACCGCGGACATGTTCTTCACAGAGGCGGTTGTCGTGCCACCGAACAGATACAGGCTCGAGGACAAGACTGGAGATTCAATTGCCGAATCACCAAAGAACAGTCTCTACAAAGGCATTCTCAATGCTTGCGACGCGATGCGACAAATAAGCAATGAGATGAAGGGCCAGGAGAACGAAGCCGGGTACCGACGACGCAATTTCGACGACTTGCAAACGCAATGGGTGAACCTTCAAGGCGCAGTCAATGCGCTCATTGACAAGGAGGCAAATCCTACACAAGGCCGAGCCGCCATCACCAACGCCGATGGTATCAAACAGGTTCTCGAAAAGAAGGAGGGTTTGTTCCGAAAGAACATGATGGGCAAGCGTGTCAACTTCGCTGCTCGCAGTGTCATTTCGCCGGATCCTAACATTGAAACCAACGAGATCGGCGTTCCGCCTGTCTTCGCAATCAAACTGACATACCCTGAGCCTGTAACCAACCACAACTTTTACGACTTGAAAGAAGCTGTGCTCAATGGTCCTGATAAATGGCCCGGTGCTGTCGCGATTGAAAACGAGTCCGGTCAAGTTATCGCGTTGCGTAAGAAGAACTACGAGGAGCGACTGGCTCTTGCAAACCAGCTGCTTGCGCCTTCAAATTCGTACGGGAATGGATCGAAGAACAAAAAGGTCCATCGTCATTTGAACAACGGCGACGTGGTCATCATGAACCGTCAACCGACACTGCACAAGCCGTCCATGATGGCGCACAGAGCTCGTGTTTTGCCAGGCGAGAAGACCATTCGCATGCACTACGCCAACTGCAACACCTACAATGCTGATTTCGACGGTGACGAGATGAACATGCATTTTCCACAGAACGAGCTCGCTCGCGCAGAAGCCATGACCGTCGCGGACACCGACCACCAATATCTCTCTGCGACTGCAGGCAAGCCTTTGCGTGGATTGATTCAGGACCATATTTCCATGGGAGTCTGGATCACGAACAAAGATACATTTTTCACACGCGAAGAGTACCACCAATTGTTGTACTCGTGCTTACGGCCTGAGGATGGGCACACGACATCTGGACGACTCGAGACTGTGGATCCTGCCATCTGGAAGCCTGTGCCCCTATGGACCGGAAAACAGATCTTCACCACCGTGCTGAAGAACGTCAAACCCGCGGAATACCAAGACTTGACAATGACATTCTAAATCGACCCACTGACGGTAAGCTATGGGGCGTGCATCGTGAAGAAAGCATCGTCATCATCAAAGACGGCCAACTCATTTCTGGTATCATGGACAAGAGCCAGACTCGGACCTGCCGGAGGTGGCTTCATTAACGGTGTCTACGAAGCGTACGGCGAGACGATAGCTGGACGAGTCCTCAGTATCATTGGTCGACTACTCACGAAGCTGCTCCACATGCGTGCATTTTCTTGTGGCGTAGAAGATCTCATCCTTACAGAGGAAGGTGACAGGGCCCGTATTGAGGAGTTGAGCAAGGCACAAACATCCGGGTTCAAAGTGGCGACGGAGTATGTGACCCTGGATGCCAGCAAGATTGACCCTATGAATCCTGAGCTTAGGCGACGAATGGAGGATGTTCTGCGCGACGATGAGAAGCAACGCGGCCTCGACATGCTCACCACCACGGCCAACAGTCAAATATCTGCAGCGGTCACTACGGCCTGTCTTCCTGGACAACTAATCAAGCCCTTCCCGAAGAATCAAATGCAGGCCATGACGGGCTCTGGGGCCAAGGGTAGTTTGGTCAACGCCAACCAGATCTCATGTAATCTTGGTCAGCAGGTTCTTGAAGGTCGACGTGTCCCTGTCATGGTCAGTGGCAAGACGCTGCCATGCTTCAAGCCATTTGAAACAAGCGTACGAGCTGGAGGATACATTGTCAACCGCTTCTTGACTGGAATTCGGCCACAGGAGTACTACTTCCATATGATGGCTGGTCGTGAAGGTCTTATTGATACTGCCGTCAAGACATCGCGCTCTGGATACCTACAACGATGTATTATCAAGGGCATGGAGGGGCTACACGTCGAATACGATACCTCGGTGCGTGACTCAGACGGAAGCATGGTCCAGTTCCTTTACGGTGAAGACGGTCTCGATATCACGAAGCAGAAATACCTCAACGACTTCAAGTTCCAGGCAGAGAACTTCTTGTCTCTAGCTCAGACATTGCAGACGCAGGCAGCGTTCGGGCGTGTCTGGAGCCCTGAGGCTACCGAGCACAACAAGAAGGCTTCGAAGAAGGCTCGCAAGGGCGACATTACATCAATGGATCCTGCTCTCGCACTATACGAACCATCTCGACACAGCGGTAGTACTTCGGAGAAGTTCTACCAGGCGAAGAGGGAGTACACCGAGAAGAACCCAGATAAGCTTCTGAAGCACAAGAAGAAGGATCCTGAAGGCGAGATTCTCAAGAAGAGTTTCGAGCAAATGCTTGATCTCAAATACCTCCGATCTTTGGTGGAGCCTGGTGAGGCCGTCGGCGTGGTTGCGGGACAGTCCATCGGCGAACCTTCGACACAAATGACATTGAACACCTTCCATTTGGCCGGTCACGCCGCAAAGAATGTCACGCTTGGTATCCCACGTCTCCGAGAAATCGTTATGACAGCTAGTGCAAAGATATCGACACCTGGTATGCAACTCTACCCACATAAAGAGCTCTCGGAAGAGGACAACAAGAAATTTGCGAAGAGTATTACCAGACTGCCACTTGCGGATGTGCTGGACAAGGTGACCGTGACCGAGTCGACCGGCCAAGGCACCCAGTACAGCCAGGCCAGAATCTACAAGGTCCGACTAGATTTCTACCCAGCCAAGGAGTACACCCAAGAGTACGCCATCAAGGTTCGCGATGTGGCAGAATCGATCGAGCAGAAGTTCTGTCCGCGTCTGCAGAAGGCCATCCGGGCCGATCTCAAGAAGAAGGGCGAGAATACATCGCTCTCGACTGCTAAGGCCTCGGGCGCTGTACCGAACGTTGGTCAGTCCAACCGTAATATTGAGCAGCAGACCGCCCAGGAAGTCGATGATGCAACTGCCGCCGACAAGGAGGGTGGTCCTGAGGACGACGACAGCGACGATGGTGAAGGCGAGGGTGACGTAACACACACCAAGCAGCGCGGTCGCCGTGAAGACAGTGTAGGCTACGAAGATCCTGAGGAGGAGGAACAAGCTATGAACGATGCCCTCGACCGTGTTGAGGCCCCTTCGGACGACGAGACATATGGCGGCTCTCCTAAACCGTCTCGCAATTCCACGCCTGAACTAGATTCGGACGACGATGATGACGAACGCCTTCTCGTTCCCACCGACGAAGCCTCCGACGTCCGTAAGGACCGCATTACGGGTAAAAATACCGACGTCTCCGACTTCGTCTTCGATGACAAGAAGGGCGCGTTCTGCGAAATCACATTCGAGTTCAGCTCTTCGGCAGCCAAACTGCTCATGCTCAACCACGTCGAGGCCGCCGCATCTTTTGCTACCATCCACGTGATCCCTGGTATCACATCAGCAATGTACTCAGCAGCAGCCAAAGGCGAGGAAGCCGCCATCATCACCGCAGGCTCCAACCTTCTCGCCATGCGCGAATACAGCCACATCATCGACGTGAACCGCATCTTCACCAACGACATTGTCGGCATGCTGCAGTTGTACGGCGTGGAAGCATGTCGCGCAACTATCGTGAGGGAAATGCACGCCGTCTTCTCGGGTCACGGTATCAGCGTCGACCTGCGCCATCTCAACTTGATCGCCGACACGATGACCAAGGGCGGAGGCTTCACGCCTTTCAACCGCATCGGTCTCAAGACCAACGTCTCTCCTTTCTCGAAGATGAGCTTCGAAACCACAGTTGGCTTCTTGAAAGACGCGGTGCTCGAGCGCGATTGGGACGACTTGTCGAACCCAAGCGCGAGGATCGTGGTCGGAAGGTTGGGCAAGTTGGGTACCGGCGCTTTCGACGTACTTGCACCAGTGAACGTCATTGACCCGTTGAAGACGGAAGCTGATGAGATTAACGATGTGATAAACGGCGTGGAAGATGACGTTGAAATGGAGGATGCGGAATAGTCATATGGCATAATCAGGCGTTTTGGACAAGTGTAGCTTTGGGCAATGGCGTTTTGCGTAACGCCACGAGTTAGTTTTCTTGGACATGAATGGCGAAAAGTCTTAGTTCAATTATTGCGTAGCATGATTTGTACTGCCGTGAATTCCTTTGGAGCATGAACACTTTAATCAGCATCTACTGACCCTCTGGGAGCTCGAGAGGCTGAGCAATTGTCACTCCCGGAGAAAGTCTTCAAAATCAAACTCCGTCCCGTACACTTGCACCCAACTGAACTTTCCGCGTACCCATTCACCGATGATCCCCGCCCCTGTCCCACAGCATAGTAAGCTATCCAACACCAACATCAAAGTATGCAAGCCACCGTCAGCTGGCGTTTCAAAAAAAAAAAGCGCCATGCGCCAGAGCGCAAGAATACGCAGTAGCTTTGTCATACCCTTACGGGATACTGATGCGAAGTGGGGATCAGGCCAGCCATTTTGGCCCAAGATATTTCCAGCGAGTTTATCGCGAGGGCTAAGAGTTAGTGTTGTTGCAGTATAGTTTTTGTACGCGCGTATTGTTGACAGGCAGATGAATGACTTGAGTTACTCATCGGATGGATCAGTAAAGTCCGCATACTCAATGTGTGTGTGTGTGTGTGTGTGTGCTTTAGACTGTAGGTAGACACCTATCCACAGTGGTGGGAGTGGGGAACGCCACGATGATCAACGCATGGACTGTGCAGGGCGTAATGCCCGCGTGGTCAATCCTGGCAGATGCGTGCTTGGTCGCATAGCCTCACGTACGCCGGGCGCGTGGTTTCTTGCACGGCGAGTGTCGCGTGTCCGACCGTGTGTAGCTTTAGTAGTGGCTGACTGTAGGTTTTTCCGTCCGTGTCACGGAGATCCTGAAGATGATTGTGTAATGTTATTTTGGCATGAATCAGTCGTGTATGTCTGCGTCGTAACACTGTTGCCGGTGTTGGATGCGCAGCGCACAGAGAATGGTGGAGGATGAGGCCTGATCGGCATAGTTCTGACTGGATGACGAAGTCCGTTAAGGCGTCGGCATCGTGCCGTTGAGCGAAGTCCGGTCGGAAGGCTTCGCCTGCAGTACCTTTGAGAACGAGTGCCGAGTAGCTTTTGGAGTGGAGGCGCTGCATGATCACTGACGGCAGCCCATGGAAGTTATGCTTTTGGGAATGGTGGCTCGCAATGGTGCTAAGATATGTGATGATCTCGCCAGGTACTGAATGTGCTGTGATAAAATGATTCGCTCTTCATCGATGATAGTGTGTAAACCCAGTGAGCAATTGTCCTGTAAGAAAGATCAAATTCAAATTCAAATTCGGATCGTTGTGAGACAAGTGAGCGAAAATGACAGAGCTTGAACAGCATAGAGGTGTAAATGTCAACAAACTGAGTGAGATAAAAAGCGGAAAGCAAGTTCATGAAGTCCAATCGAAGAAAACGTGTAGTATAGAATGTCCCTAGCCGTCCCAAACATGTGGTATCAACGTTGCTTTCGAACGTTTCTACCTTCCCAAACGGGCGACACCTCCGTATTTAACGCAAAAAGCTCATCACATCGAGGTGAAGATTTTTTTAGATGAGAATCGCGTTTATATAACGTGGCGGTCTCATATATTATCGTTTGAACGTAGTGGTACGCGACAAAAGCTCTTCATGCGTATTCAGCGAATCGCAATCGTAGGGGTTGTACAGAGGGAGCAAGAAGGCCTTGAAAACACTGTGAGGGCAGTTCATGCTCCCTTGCGTAAGAGATAGGAGCGAAGAGAGGCGAGCGAAGCGGATGATCATGACCCATAGACTGGCCTGGAGGGCACTTGTGAGCTCTGGGAGGACCACCTCTCCCACTTTCCAGCTATCCCCTGTGCTAAAAACCAACAGATACGAGTTGAACCCCGGTGATTCAGCCCTGAGTGACGCTCCTCCAAGCCTTCCGTTGCTGCAGATCCACCATTTGCCGTACAGTCTCGGTGAGCGTAATTTCAGCAGAGCGCAACTCTGTGAGTCCCAATATCGCGGATATAAGATATGTGTCGAGGAAGTCAGGCGTGGGTTCGCGTTGAGGACGTCGCGGTGGCGAATCATCTATCCTGATACAACCCCGAAGTTCAGGGAAGCGGTTGATCAGAAGTTGCGCCATCTGTAATTTAGAAGGCATCGCACCTGCGGAGATGAAGAGGTGTTTGTTCGATGCCTTTTCGATGAAGAGTGCGCGTATGGTGGCATCAGCGACGTCCTGTCTAATCGTCAGTTCTGTTGAGGTCTCGCAACCAGGCATCTGTCTTACCCGCACATCTGCAAACTGATCAATTCCATATGTTGATGGGATAGCCTGGTCCAGCGCTTCGTTTGAACATATGTTCCATATCCTCCGATTTGCGTCAGTCAGATCTGATGAGTTTTCCAGCGGTTGTACGGCAGGTCCAAGAAGACAAGGCGCTGTGATTACGACGACATCGAATCGAGCACCAGACTGTTTAGTCCATGCCAAGACAGCGTCGTTGACGACATTACTACCTGCCTGGCTGGCAGCCAGAGTGTATTCCGGATCGTCGACCGAGTAGTTGGACTGTTCGCTCACTGTTCGCCCAGATGCTCTGTCAGTGTGAAAGTCGCCCAGCCATCGCGCAAATGGCATGAGCGAGGTCACGATCACGACCCGGCTTACGGCTTGTGAGATTTCTTGTATTGATTTCAGAAAACCAATGATAGATTCGGTTTCTGTCTTGATAAATTGTGCGAGACAGTCCGCCTCGTCGGGGAAGCTGACTCCCAGAGGATGGACCACGGCATTGAAAGAGTCGGACAAGTCATGAAGGGCAGTGTCCAAAATTCCAGGAACTGTAGTTCCTTGTTCAGGGACTGTGCAGAAGTCTAGAGTGGCATGATCGTTCTGGTGATGTTGATGGAGCACATGCGCTGTATCTTCGGACTTGACTACAGCGCGAACGGAGACAGTGTCATGGGACAGCAGCTGGGCAAGGACATGTGAGCCCATGAAGCTGTCCGCGCCAGTTAGGAGAATCCGAGTCCTGGCCATGATCCGATAGCGGTACCGTGGATGCTCTCTGATGCGGGAATTGGGAAGAAGTGACTTGATGGCCAAAAGCGTGCTATCTCGAAGAGAGAAAAGGGCGAACTTGGGAATATCGCGTACTGCCCGGAGCGAACAAGCAAAATGGTTTTGGACGCGAATGCTTGGACGGCTGAGTGCCGACGCCGTGGGCCAGTCTTTCGGATCGGCAAGTGCAAGCCGCAAGCCTAGGACTGGGGTAGAAGGCGAGGCTGGGTTTTCACGCCATTCAAGTCGGTTCTGACACGTCGACTAGTTGCCTGCCAACGACGAAGACGGTCGAACCTAACAAGATAGAAGTGGGCTTACTATGGTCTCTTTCAGACCTGCTCGTGCAAGCATCACGACTTGGTAGTCTTGTTGTCAGCCACTTCCAACATATAGAAAAGCTGCAATGGTGCGTGGCGCAAGTAAGTCGGTGAGAAGAATGCTGACACGTCCCCTTCTATACGCATAAAAAAATGTTTGTCAGATATGCGAAGGGATGTGGTAGCTTACATGCAGAAGTCCTCGAAAGGTGAGAAGGATACAGATCTATGATTTCGACAGGAGATTTGATCAGTACTCACCTGTTTTTTTTGAAAAAAACTTACGATGTGTAAGACAACAAAGAGTGTCTGGCTGAGTCTTACTATACCCATCGAGCAGATCCTTCGTCAGCCATGTGGCACAGATGGTACTTGCCCCTCTATGAGCTAACTCCACCTTTTTCAATACACGGGATGTGAGGTGGATGGTATATCACTTGCACTATATCTGTGGACCGAAGCGCGCGGATAGTAAGCGATCATCCGCTTGAGCACATATGTTGACAACTCGAAGAGATTCGAAGAGATCCACAAAATCAGGTCTACAGTCTCGTGATTCACTGTTGCGGAGATTGTAAAGTATAGTGATATTCCTCACTCGGTCGAGCAGTCTTGTGATCGTCGCTGTGATGTTACTCGACATCAGTGCTGACCTCCCACAATGCCTGGCTGCTCGCAACCGCCCACTCCTTCCGGATGGAACCAATGCCTTGTAGTACTGCTCATATGCACCGCTCTAAGAGGAGCAAAAGTCCAGGCGATCGGCCTGTGAACAACAACGGAGTATATCATGGGCGGCGTAGACTAATGCCCGAAGCTCGCTCTTATCGTTCGTTGGTCGGGGGCCGAAGGATACTAGCTGCAGAAAACGGTCGTGAGATGGCCGTCATGGCGACCAACTCGATGGCTACGCAGCACGCGGGATTGCTGACTGCGCCCGAAACGTGGGCTAGCTCGCGTGCTATTTCGTGTCCAATGGACTAATCAAATGCCTACCAGTCGTCTAGGCGTGCAGATGTGTTCAGGTTGAAGATCCGTGGTTGTGCGCGCGATGCACGAGGTGATGCGGGGCGAAAGGTACGGCCACTTCGAACGCCGCATTCCCAACGTCAATACAGACGGTGGCGGATCGAAGAACCTCGTATACTCTCGGAAAGGCTCACACACATACTTCCCTATACTAATTGACACACCTGAGAGCAATATACGGCAACGTTGTGATGTTGGTGGAGAAACTTGTGGTGCGCAAGTTGCTGCTCGGAGACTTTCGTCTGGCACTAACACAGCAAGGCCGAGCGTGCTTACCACTTCATCAACAAGAAGGAGCGATCGACGTTGCACTTCATGCCCATATATTTTTGAACCCCGAACTTAAGGTGAAGCAATAAGGACGAAAGTGCCAAACACTTGTCACAACCGGCCGAGCCTAGGTATGCGTGGTCAGCACTTGTAGAACAGAGTACATCAATTGCTGTTCAGGGCGAGCGGATATCAAGCAATACTGCAGTCGTTTTCTTTACTCTCAATTATCATGTTTCGTCATGAAGCTGGCTAGGGTTTGCCAAGCTATCTATGCTATTATAGTACAGAGTGCTACACGAAGCTTAAAGTACCGCGGATGTGACAGCTTCTCTCTCGTGCAACTGGCTCAAGCCTACTCAAGTAGAGATGCCTGGTTGGCGTAGAGCACATCGACGACGTTGCTCAGCTTGTCAATGGTTCCAAGTGCAGCATCGTAGCCCTGGTCGCGCTCGGACTCATCGTAGACGATCAGGCAACCGGCGCCCTGGTCAAGGACTCCGATAATGACCTTGTCGAGGATCATCTGTGACAGCTTGCGCTCCACCTGTACCGTGTCCAACCCAACCATCTTAGCCACATGGTCGATCTCCACTCTGCTAAAGGGCTCGATCACCTTGATAAGGTTCTGCTCCAACATGTTGTCATATAGCCGCCGAAGATGGCTTGTGATGAAGCGATCGCTACCAAGCTGCTGACGGTAGTCTGTCAAGGCTGTTTCATACTCCTCCAAACTGCGGTTCGTATGCGCTCGCGCTACGGCCTTCATGGCCTCCAGCCGCTTCCCCGCATACTTGATTGCGTGCTTCGAGGTCATGAGCGACGACACGTCATCGCCCAGGTTGAGCATGACCTTGCAAAGGAGCATGTATTGCAACGCTGACGTCGCCTTCTGCTCCTCGTCCTGCGAATGGTAGCCCTCCATAGCCTCGATGAAGTACGAGAAGGCTGTGTTGAAGTCGCCATCCTCGGCATGTAGCATGCCACTCTGCATGTCCAGGCCGGCTTGGAGTAACGGCGGGGTATAGACCGATGCGGCCGACGTTCGTGCGGAGGTCAGGGCGGCGCGTCCCTTTGGTATGTTGCCCAACGCGTGATAAACTCTTGACTCCAACAGCTGCACCTCCACCAGGACCAGCTTGTCATCCAAACGCTTCAACTCCTTCAGCAAGCTGTTGATGAGAGTCAGGGCCTCGTAGTACGACTGCTTCGCCATGTACAGAGAGACGAGCCGTGTCTCAAGGTTTTGCCGCAGAAAACCTCTCCGCTCTGATACGGCCCATTCTATACATGACTTGGTGACGGCGATTTGTGTGTCGGTGGTGTTCGGGATGGCGGTGAAGAGCTCGAGGAGCTGTCGTACTGCTCGGTGTTAGGTCCATCTAGATGACAGCAGCCTCTACGATCACCTACCAAGCTTCGAGGTCTTCGCTTTCGCAAACGATGACAGCACCGATCGCGCCTGCTGGATGAGCTCTGCAAGGGCATCCACCCGCTTCTGGTCGCGGTACAGTTCTCCGAGACCAACGAGCGCAGTTTCGTAGTTCTTGATGGCAGTCTCATTCGAGCCCGGGTCTGCAGCCAGCACCTCTTTGTAGATCTGTTCCGCCTGCGTAGGTTCCGACTTGGCCAACTTCTGCGCCTCCGCTATCCGCTTGCTCGTGTCTGCGACAGCCATGGCGGGGTATCTTGTGCGAGTGTATAGCTTCAGGAGCACGTGTAGAGCTCTTGTTGGGTGATTGTCGCTTGAGGTTGTGTGGAGGGAGGGGTTGAGCAAGCTGTTGGTGATGGAGCTGCGACTGCGGACGCTCGTGGAGGCGGCATGACGGCGACTCTTTCCTCCGCGCCGGCCTAGTCACGTGCCTTGCGTGCAACCACTGGGACATGTCGATGCTGCGCATACAATTGCCAGCCACGAGTGATAGGAAGATTCGCATAGTCTCACTGTGAATGAATTAGAACAAAGTTAATCGGCAAGAGACGTCCGTGTATGCTCATGTGCACGCGACATGTTTAGTCAGAAGATGCATGAGGCAGCACAGGACATCATCGTCGATTGCACCCGATCAGAAAGCGACTGTAAAGTTTGACGCTGGATGTCTGGCGGACCAGTTCCGTCAGTCACTGGACCAGTTCCGTCAGTCACTGCAAGGAACCAGACGAGGGTCCTGAACAACTCGCCCAAGATAGTGAAATTATCATAGCACTGTCCAGATCCCGAAGAACTGCAATTCCACACGGACTTCAAAAAAACTCCGGACCCTGATCAAAGTCTTTCGTCTTCAGCCACCTGCAGCGCATCCATACACGAAATGCGAAGACGTCCTGTTGATGTACCTTCGCCAATACTACAGCGCGTTGGCGCTGCCATAGCAACGGCGCCGAGCGGCTGCGCAGCACGCGACACGCGATGCCAGAGCACCCGCCATCGCCGCTTTTTTCTTGAACCCGGTGCTTAGGGAAGCAATCAAGAGCAGTAAATGAGGCGTTAGCTGCTTGGACTGTGCTGTACATGCAGAAGCAGCTGCAATAATTTATCGCGCGCCTTTGCTGCCTCGGAGACGAGTGCTGAGCTGGCAGTCGCGTCCGTGCAGTAAGCCAATGAGATCATCGGTGCGGCCAGTGCCTGCCATAAACAAACAAACCCTGTAAACCTTACAAAACATCCACACCACCTCCCACTTCCATCATCACATACACCCACACAGTCACGATATCACGAATCATTATATACCCCGGCGCGCTGGACCGCTGAAAGCTCTCCAACGTTCACATACTCTACACCACAGTACAATTGGCATTGCGCGCCCAATTGACCTCCCCACTGTGCATTCCGATACCACTGTTTTGGGTTATTCCTCCTTCACACCACACCACACACAATGCCTTCCACCGACAGGGAAGATTCCCGCGACCGAGAGCTCGTGCGGCACTCACATTCTTTCTCTTCTATTCCCATGTACGTCTTCCGCCGCATCCGACTCGAGCTGTAAACACGCGCGACCATGAAACTAACACGCCGACTCAGGTGGGATAGTTCAGACCCAGAGCGGGCACCGCCACCACTGCCCTTGAACCCAGGCTCGCCGAATCTCACTACGCGCCCAAACACATCTGCACTCATCATGCAGGCGGCCAAGGCGCTAGAAGAGAAGGCGCGAGAGAGCTTACCTGCGAGTTCATACACAACTAATCCTATGCCACAGAAGTCGCCTGAGCGCTCCCTGATCAAAGGCACAACACACAAGCGCATGCAGTCGTTACAGCCTGGCAGCGTACGGGACCTCCGCAGCTACCTCGACACTCATCGGTCACCCGAGCGATCACCCGAGCGACCCAAGACGCGGAGCGGATCACCAGCACGAGACTTGAACAAGGACTACTTCAGCAAAGATGCCTTCAAAGACCCTTTCGCCAAGGATCCTGAGCCAAGCTCAAGGAACGGCACACCAACACCGTCGGCACGTTTCGAGATCAAGGACACCTCTGCGGTACGCCCGAGCCACCGAGCTCTCCTCGGAGAGAACACTCCACCATCAGCCACGATGATGGCGTTGCAGACCATGACGATTCCCCCACACATCCTCGACCCGCCACCGCTGCAGAATGTCTCCAATTCGTCCGCACGATCTCCTGGTCCTGCAGTACAGCCAGTAGACTCCATCTCCACGCAGTTAATGAGCATCAACTCAATCGTTTCAAGTCTGCAAAAGGACATGTCACAGTTGAGCCGCCGCAGCAAAGACAACGCGACCGATCTTATCAGCCTCAAAGAGGCCACAAACTCACGCGATGAGGACATCCGCAAGTCACTCAAGGATCTTCTGCACACAATGGCAGCGCAGAAGCAACAACAACAATACCAAGCACCTCCAGCGGTCCCGGGAGATGCTCCTCGGTCTAGTAGCTTGAACTTGCAGGACCCGCACATGACACCGACTAAGCAGTTCACCTTCCCGCGGATGCCATCACCAAACGGCTGGGGCGATGAGCGGATAGGGAGCCCCAACCCATACTCCGTAGAGGGTGCTGCCAGTGTCGCAATGCTGGAGAAGATCATACGCGAGATGGTCACAAAGGATGGCCAGGATCGCCTCATCGCTAGTCTGCAGAAGCTTGTCGATAAGGCCACTGGGGAGACGGCGAAGAAGGTCACTGAGCTTGCCGAGTTTGTGAAGCAAGGGTCGACTGCACATCCCATGGCCGCAGCTTTCCAACCTTCTCCAGGCTCCGGTGCTCTCACTCGAACGATGACCGATACCTACCCTGGCAGCCAAGCTTACACCAGCCCCAAAGCCGCTGACTTTGTCAGCGATGAGATGCTCAAGTTCTTGCGCAAGATCAAGGATAGCGTAGCAGAGTCTGGTTGTGTGACCATGTCGACCAAGACATTGGTTCAGGACTTGAGAGGAGAGGTCCTTGGTATGGGTCGTGAGCTTGCTCGCAAAATCGAAGAAGCTGAGGAACCGCGCTCTCCAGGAGCAGCACCAGGGTCAAGCCAGGACATCAACGCCATCGTCCAGGAAGGCCTCGCAAATTTAAAGGAGCACATGGATAAGGTCATGCGCGACCGCAGACGCCAATCCATGTCATCTGTCGTCACCCGCAACACAGTTGACAGCAACGAGGTTTACGACGTCGTGAAGCACGCACTCGCAGAACGAGGTCTGGACCAGCACCATCCACAAGGCATTGCGCTAGACAAGGAGGCCATCATTGGCGCGGTCCGCGAGGCCTACGACAGCGTGGAGATCAAGCCAAACGTCGAGATTCAACAATTCGGGTTGGAGCGCGACGAGATCTTGCAGTGTTTGCGCGAAGGCCTCCAAGACTACAACGGCTCTGGTGGTGTGAAGAGGGAAGATGTCGAAAGCATCGTCCACGAGTCCCTGCAGCAAATGAAGTTGCCGGCACCTATCAACGAGGCCCACGAAATCCGCGAGGAGATCTTGACGACAGTTCGCGAATGCTTGGAGGACATCAAGCCAACCATCCCCCAAAGAGAATTGGAGATCGAGCTCCCTGCTGAGCAGATCATCGATGCGGTCAAAGCTGCTCTGGAAGAAAACAGGCCACAGGTTGAGGCGCAGAACAACGCAGTCCTGCAACGCCTCGAAGCCCTCGTCGATAGTATGCACTCAGAGTTCAAAGGCTACTCTTCTGCCGGCGGTCGCGACACGGAACAGGTACTTGATGCCCTTCGAGATGGCCTGGACAACCTTCGGGTGGAGATTCAAAAGTCTGACGCTAGCTCCCGTGATGTCTCCGACACAGATCATATCGTAGACCACATCAGCTTGGAACTTGAGAAGCTTCGGGAAGACGTTCAGGGCTATGTTGCTGAAGGACCTCGGGGCGACCAAGCTTGGAACCGGGGCGACATGGTGTCCTACATCAAGTCGGAATTCGAGAACCTTCACGAGAAGTTGACGTCTCAGTTCCTCCCGGCTTCCAATAACAAGGACGAATTACTCGCCGCCATCAACGCAGGATTTAATGAGATGAAGTCCCAGGTTGCTCTTAGGGGCGAGGACGACGAGTCTAGCGACGACATCAACGAGGCCATGAAGCACGAGTTCGATCAGCTGAAGGAAGTGATCCTCGGCGACTCAGCCAGTCACAAGAACGATGTCTTGGAAAGCCTACAAGCCGGCTTGACTGGGCTGCACGCCCTTGTTGGAGAGAGCCAGTCTTCCACTGCTTCCAACGACGAGATGATCGCTTCGATGAAGGAGGAGTTCGAGCACCTGCGCGAAACCCTCGGTGGAACTCTTGTCAGATCGGGAGGTGCAACCGACAAGGACGACATCGTCGACGCTGTTCGAGAGCTTATCGAAGGCCTCAGGTCTTCGCAAGAGTCAGCTTCCCGGGAGAATGTCGCGACAATTGAGAGTCAACTTGAAGCCTTCAAAGAGTCCCTCAGTGGCGCTTTAGTGCCTGCTGGAGATAACGACAAGGCTGCTCTCCTGGAGACTCTCAAGGCCGGTCTTGAGGAAATTAAATTGGGGGCCAAGTCTGGAGGCGTCAATGAGGAACTCCTCGAAGCTCTCCGTGGAGAGCTAGAGCAGATCCGTCAGTCTGATGGTTTGACCCGTGAGCACTCTCGCGCCGACACGGAGGAGGTCTTGGAAGCTGTCCGCCTTGGCCTAGATGACCTACGCTCGCACCTCGAGAAGCGTCTCAATGGTCCTGACAACACCTCGGCGACTGGTGAGATCATTGATGCAATGAACGAAGGCCTTGAGGGTCTTCGTGCAGACGTCAACAAGTTCGCGGACAAGCCAGTTGACATGACCGTGTCCTACGAGATTCTGGACACCCTGAAGGAGGGCTTGGCTGGCTTGCGTGAGGAGATCCATCTTCTCAAGTCCGTGAGAGCCACGGCCGATCTTGACGAACCAATGCCTCCTGCCGGTAACGAAGTCGTCCTTGCAGAGGATCCCGACCAGCTGCAGACAACATCCCGCGAGATCGTGGAAGAAGTCCCAATGCAACATGAGCCTCATCACCAGCCGCAACACGACTTCGAGAGAATGGAGCTCATCCTCTCTCAGATCCAAGGGAAGATGGAATCTATGGATGCAAACCTGCACGCGCAACAGACGACACCAGCCGCAGAGGCCGATGCAGCTGCTCCAGTCGGATCAGTCGTGAAGGAAGACTTGACAGCTATTGAGGAGCTTCTCAAGGACGTTCAGGCTGCAGTGCTCCTGCTACAGGATCGAGAAGAATCACCACCTCTTCTTCCTGATGGTATCGCAAAGAAGGAAGACACAGACGCTATTGAGACCCTTCTTGCCAACACCAAAGCCAAGATTGAGGAGATTGTCCTGCCTGATCCTGAGACGATGGTCACCAAGGAAAACCTCGATGATGTGGAACTAGTCGTACGAACCACATCTGAGGCTTTGGAGGTTCTTGCCAAGAAGATTGAAGACGAAGGAGCGACAAAGGCGGACGTCACTGTTGTTCAAGTCATCGCCGACGATATCAAGACTGCGTTGGACGAGATGCGCGCAGCAAAGCCAGACGACGAAGCTGATCCCAAAGCCACAAAGGCTGACGTTGACGCTGTCACACTGTTGGTTGATGATGTCAAGGCCAAACTGGACGAGATGAAGCTGCCTGACCCAGAGACTTTGCCGCTCAAGTTCGACATCGAGCAGCTGACTGGTCTCATTCACGACTTCAGAGACAGCCATGACAAGATGAAAGACACATATGAAGAGGACATCATCAAGACAGCCCAGAACTTCGAACATCGCAAGATGGAGGCCGACGCAATCCAGGAGCACATCACCGAAGTAAAAACTGCCTTGGACGACATGAAGTTGGAGATTACCGCCCATCTAGTCGAAGGCAGCCCTCTGGAGACCCTCAAGGAATCTTTCCGGACAATGGAAGAAACGCTCGGAAGCAGCAATGTCACTTCTGACGTGAAGGAGCTCATGGAAACTGTGGCCCGCGAGTTCGAGCGTGCTCACGGATCCATCGAGTCGTTGCAGAACGATCAGGCAGAGAAATCCGCGCTTCAGCTCGAGAAGCACGACGAACTCAAGGATACCATCGTTACTGGCTTCACTGAGAAGTTGGACGACAAGTTCAACGTTCTAATGGCTAAGTACGATGATGCTCAGCTTCTCGCAGACGAACAGGCTAGGGTCATGAAGGAAAAGGCCGAGGAGCAGGAAAAGATTCTTGAAAGCACCAAGACCATGGCCGATGAACTCCGCCTCACTATCGACACCCTCGGCGCTACCATCGCCGGAATGAACGACCGATTTGAGGGCGCTACCACTAAGTGGTCGGATGACTCCACGAATGTGTCGATGAAGATTGATGAAACACTCATCAAATTCGAAGAGCAAAAGAGCAAGATCGAAGAGGCGCTTGGTAAATTTGAAGAGCAGAAGCTCGAAGACAAGACTGAACACTCTCACACACGCGATGAGATCAAGAATGTCGAGACTGTGTTCACTAGCCTTCAAGATAACGTCACCGAGTACCATCCCAAGTTCATGGTGGCACTCCATGAGATCGAAGCCCTCGTCAAAGCCCATTACGACCACGCGCAGAAGTCAAAGGAGGAAGCCGACGAACGTGCTCGTGCATGGGACGAGGAGACCAAGGCTCGTGGCGAGGAGCTTCAAACTCACTTCGCGAACCTACCGAAGCTTCTGCCAGCACCTACCCCAGAGAAGTACGACGATGCTCCTGTTCAGGAGAAGCTGGACAAGATCCTCGCTATCGAGCCCTCATCAGCTTATGACGATGGGGTCGTACAAGAAAAGCTTGACAAGCTCCTCACTCATGCTGACGAGGCCGCAAAAGCCAGCGGTCAATCTGAGCGACTCGATGAGATTCACGCACAAGTCAAGATTACCGCCGCCGAGTTGAGCGACTTTGTGGCCAAGCAGACTCAGTTCATCACCGACGGCAACGAGTCCAAGGAGCGCGAAGCCGAGGAGCTCGCTCTTCTTGTTGAGCGCAAGACGACCCAGAAGGAGCAGCTCGAGGCCGACTTGGAGAACCTCCGGACTGAGAAGGCTACAATGAAAGAGCAGCTCGATGCCGACATCCAAGACCTTAAGGCTGAAAAGGAGCGCGTGATGCAGGAGTTGCGAGAAGAGAAGGAACGCGTCATGGCCGAGTTGAAGGAAGAGAAAGAGCGCACCATGCTCGAGCTCAAAGATGAGAAGGATAATCTCCTCGCTATTGTCGCCACCTTGCAAGTTGAGCGTGAGAACCTTGCCAACCAGAAGGTTCGCCTCACTGGTGAGGTTTCTTCTCTTCACACTGCCCTGGACATTCGACGCGAGGAGCTCAACTTTATGGACGCGAAGGCGGATGCATTGGAGCGTCGTATTCTCAATGGCATCATGGATCATTCTCGCGCTTTGATGATGGTCAAGGGCAGCTCCAAGAGCCCCAGCAAGCACAAGAAGCGCATGGGAACCGATGCTGTCAACGAGGAGGGCAAGCTGATGCCTCCACCCAGCGCAGCCGCCAACGGCCTTTCTCTCGCTCTGAAGCCTCGTCCTGCCATTCGTCGCAACGGCCAACCCGCCAACCCAGCACAGCGTCGCATTCTCTCATTGAGCCAGATTAGTGGGAATGCACCAGCTCCTGGACACCAATCCTTCCCGACCACCAACACTGCAACCAACTCTGGTGGCGGTATCAAACGTAGCCACTCTGTGAAGAACAGTAGCTACGGCATGCGCAAGGGTTCCTGGGGCGGCCGTCCCAGCATGGCAGTTGCCAACAAGGAGAACGGAACACTGAATGAAGAGGATGAGATCGAGACGGAGAAGCTTGCGCCAATTGCGTCGCTTGCTCCGTCAATCATCGAAGAAGACCAGCAGAGCGAGACCGGTACTGAGCGCCGTTATAGTATTGACAGCCGCTCATACGCCGAGAGCTACGCAGAGGGCGAGACGCCTGGTGACGACCGCCGCTCGAGCTTCGGCGGTACCGGTAGCCAGTACTCCTACGATTCCCGCTCGTCTTACATGACTGGCAGCGACATTGATCGCCGCACTTCGTACGCCTCCTCCACTCCGCGTGGCGAGGGAGCTGATGAGCACTCGGAGGATGAGGCGTCTGAGGCTGAAGGCGGCGCAGACAACGAGGATGACGAGCCGACTGCCACTCTCGACTTGAACCCCTCCGAGATGTCCACTGCAACTGCAGACACCGACGTGCAGCTCCCTACGCACTCGGAAATTGGACGTGCGATCGAGGAGGTTAAGAAAGAGATGAAGGACGAGTACGCAGCACCGAGTGACTCGGGTGTTGGTACAGATTTGCCCACGGCGGCGTTTGGAAACGACAGCGAAGTCGATGCGGATTACTTCCGTCGCGCGGCTGAAGAAGAAGCAAGCACAGTTGGATAGTTGTACTCGGGTGATGACCGTGGTATGATCATGATGACGGGTGGCCTTGTGTAATATTGGTATTGTGCTTTCAGGTCTTTGCATGGGATACTTTGGAGTTTGGACATTTGGACAAGGAGTTGGATGGCATTGGTTCTTGGATATGCTTAGGCATTTGGGTGGAATGATTGGACTTTGTTGGCGTTCTTCGCTGGTCTCAATCGCAATGCAATTTCTGAATACTTCAAGTGGCTGTGCCTTTCTGCATGTGATGCATCGTGACTCCAAGCAACCC